GATGAACATTTTGTGGCAAGCTTTGGACTTGAATATTTAGGACACAATGTATAGATGTGCATTTTACCAGGAAATTCCGAGAAGAAGAGGATATCTTGAAATATGTAACAAAGTTTTACTCCTCATACGACAAATTTCATCAAACTTTGCAGATATTTAGGACACCATTTGTAGATGTGCATATTACCGGGAAATTCTGATTCTTTCATTTTTTCCAGGATTTTCAGCACTTTGAGTTTTGGGGGAGCGTGGGTATGTGAGCTGGCTCACTTTTTCTTTCATTTTTAAAATAGAAAATATTTTATTTAAAAAAATTAAAGAATATATAAGGGTGTTAAAATAGGTTTTAATAAAAAATGATATAAAGGGAAAAAATCAGCGCCAAGAATTTTTTGATACATTGACAGGGTCTTCTTCAAATGGATCCTGCGTACAAAATAAACTTGCTGTTTGGTATCAGTTTGAGTTTGACTTTTCAATGATAAAAATTTAATATACAAATACTTTGATGGAATCATCGAATCATCATATAGTAATTTTTAAATCATTGCATAGAAATATAAACTGAATCAAAAAATAAAGAATTTAATCCATAACTTTACCCGTTTACGTCGTACATGTTTTTACACGTTCTAAACTTGTAGCTACACGTCGGATTTGATCATTATGTCTTGATGACGTCACCGGTACAAGTTCATCGCAAAACGTGTAACTAAACCTCTCTATTTTCTGGAGAGGGCTACAATTCCACAGCATCTCCGTAATGGTGCAAAAATATTTTGTAAATACTGGGGACTGCAGGCAGAATAAATTGTTTTTCCAAATCAACTTACTTCTAATAAGACGAAATTTTTATTCACTGTCGACATCAAAGCTCGTTAAACGCAAAAACCATGTAAAAAAAATCTGTGCATTTACTTCGGCAGCCATGACAGTTCACGCGTGACGTAGTGACACTTGCGCTTGAAATTTAGAACAACTCAATAAAGCAAATGTCGATGTTTATAAATAATTGTGATGAATAGTAACACTAAACATCAATAAATAAAATCATTCCATGTTTCATTTTTTTGTAAACACCGATATTTAAGCTTAAAATAAGGTAATTCCAAAGAAATCCGCTCCCTATAGATCCTTAATCTCATTGGTTGTCCCGAAATAAAATCTGTCAAGGTCAGTAAACATGGCGGATAAATTTAAGTTGTGATGTTGACATACACGAAAAATACTGATATATGGATTGTTCTGTATATTTTTGGATCGATTTATGTCTGGGATAACTACATTTTGGAAGTCCAGGTAAGACATATATATAAAATAGCCGTTTACTAGCAATTTAAGCCGAAATCCGTGCGGGGGCGAATCGCTCCTGCTCTGCACCATTACGGAGATCCCAAGGAGTTGTAGCCCTCTCCCCCAAAAAAATAAAAAAAAAAAAAAGGGAGAGGGCTACATTATTGCAGCCAATGTTAATAATAAAACAAAATTCAGTCTCCATTTCCAAGTCCTCTTCCGTTTTCTTTTAATTTTGCATTTATAACAATACTAGATACCACCACTTTTGGGCAGGTGACAATGCTAATTCAGCACACTGAACGTAATTTTTTTTAAAAAACATTTATGCATTTTGGAATTATATAGACCTAGAAAATGGGTCTAAAAATTGCAAAAATGCTTTGCATGGATAATCTGAAAATAAAGATATCAACACAATCGGTGAAAAAACGAAAATTCGGGACACTCCGACAGTTGGAAGTACTAGAGTAGATTTACAGCTTTCCCCACCTGTGCTTGAATTCTTTCTGTTGAAATTCTTCACATTTAACTCAGCTTCATCTTAAGGGGGGACCTATGTCGTTCCACGTCAAAGCAGCATTATGTGACGTCACAATAGCGACGTTAGTTTTTACCTGTTGACTTTTGCAACTGTGATATAGGCATAACATTGTTATTAATCAATAACGTATACAATATTTACAAAAAGAAAATTTATCATCATTATTAACTGCTCTATATGATTTATAGAGTTTGTTAATAAAAGAATTCTCTTCCATTGGTTGATAATTCATAGCAATTTCACTTGTGAAGAAATACCTCGATGATATGCTGATATATATAAGTGCAAAAAAATACGATAAATTTCAGCAAAGAAAGCGGCTTAAATCAGGGAAATATGTAAAATTTTATGTTTACCATTCATTGTATTTTCTGGATAAAACTAAGAAAAAATAAAGAAATGCACTTGTACCTATATTTGCTTATTGATTTAAAGTACATGTAGATTTTATTGTATAAAGTCACTCCTAGGTTCTAATAGGTGTTGGTTATGACGGGGAAATGGGGGGGGGGGGGGGAGGGGGAGAAACAGAATGATTGGAATGAAGATGAAAAGAATTAATCTGTTTAAATTGATTCTAATCAAAACAAAATACTCGTTTTTCGCAAAATAATTTTATTTTCTGATGTTTGTCAGTGCCTATTTACCTTTTTTTTAAGTGCAGACATGTGAATATTTATGACACAAGAGCACGAAAATAAAAGAAAACGTCATATTTCTCTTTAATTTTATCATAAAGGTATACTTTTTTCTTTGTTAAAATAAAGAGATGGATCATTTCTTTCCAAAAATATGAATTTCAACATTTTCACACAAAGACTTTTTAAGATATTACCTGTTATGCATGTCGGAATTGTAAAAAATACGACAAGAAAAACGGGATGATACTTACATTGTGCCCCATTATAATTTTTCATGCGAGATGAATGACAATGATTTTGCCTTTATCTTAAAGATACAAGTCATATAAATTAAATACCTGTTGATTTTGAATGTGATTTGACATTTTTGTTTCTTTTTAGCGCATATTTTGGGTAGAACAATAATGTCTGAAAATAATCTATTTTTAGCATTTCGCAGTGTTTTTGCACGCGCTCCTGTGTAAAAATAAACATATAAAGGTACTATTTTTAATACCTAAAAATTAAGAACAAGTAGTCAGGAAAAAAATGTCAAAGTTTTTAAAATTTCACACAAAGACTTTTCGGACATAGGTCCCCCCTTAAGTATTTCCTTAAAAATGTTTTCTACCTAACTCTGCCCCAGTTGTAAATTTAATAGGTCACAAGAACCATGCTAGTTTTGCTTTCATTTACAGCCTCAATCTCATTTAAAGAAAAGGTATTACGCAATCACATATAAGGTACAATAATTAAGATGGGAAATGCACAAAACAAAAAAAAACACTAACCAAAAAAGGGGCCGGTCATTCGGACCAACATTGATGGCATTTTTACCAGTCATGCAAATTTTTTGCCGGTTTTGCCGGCATTTTTCCACAACTCTGCAATTCTTTTGTATCATTCATGATCAGTTCGGAACAGTTCCACTCCTCTACTTCTTGGTGCAACCATATTCTATGGTATCCCAAGAAAGATTCATATCTAACTATGCCAAAATAGACTGTGTCTGCTGCCCAATCCCATTCACTTTGTCTTTTTAAAATAATACACATATTGACTTATATCCAAGAAACAGATTATTTGTAATTATACACATATCACACAGGTTTTAGAACAAGTACATATATTGTCTGCAAGTGTAAAACTCAATAGGCCTATAACTGTCCATTCATAGGCATTTTTCCTCAATCACCCATGTTCTTATAACATTTTCACCAAACGCTAAATGCTCATGTTCAAGAGTTTCTTTTGTTTAAACATTAGTTATAATAAAAAAAAATCAATGAAGAATAAGTGTTATATTGTTTAAAATAATTGTTTGCACACTTCTCTTGGCAATATTACACAGATTAGTAACAAAAGGGTCCACTGTGTAAATGTAATAACAATGTCGGCCATTCTTCGCTTTTCAGTAAAAAGTTTAGTAAAGCCAATATCTTGTGCATTGAAATAGTTTCTTACCGAAATTGTAATGCCCCCTCGAACCATAGGTGGCTTTCGAAACAAAATGTCGACACTCTCTCTTTTCTATTGTATTTTTTCGTGCTCTCACTTTGCTCGCTTTATTCAAATGTTCCAAGATGGCGAAAGATGCATTAGCGCATGCGTAAAAGAAACGGGGCACCTGTTATGACCGCTTCACTCAATAAACATTTGCCTTAATGTGTGAAAAAAATAGTGCACAAATTTCATAGTTTTTGTGCTGTATATAAATCATAACTCTATTCAGAAACACGATATTTATCAACGAAATTAAAAGTTTTTTAAAACTCAAAAACTGACGACATTTAATTGCGTGTTCCTTTATTTTTTTATATTAACAAATTTTTTGCTTGTTAGACATAAGGCCTGCTGTAGTTCACCAAAATGATCACGTCCCCCCCCCCCCCCCAAATTTGTATCCTACGATATGTTCTATTGATTTTTTTTTTACATTACACACAGGCCTTGATTAGTATACATTACAGCTCTCTGAGGAAGAGATTTGTGTGCTTTAGGTCTATGTTTAAACTGATCATGATGTTAACCGGGATAGGGCGTGTGCTATGTGCTAGGCGGTCGACGCACTTCATGACCCGAGGCAATATACTTTCATGTTCGACAAACCCAAATCCACGCCCACACTCATTCATGAATATACACCTTTTCTCAAGTTTTCAGCAACTTTGTATTTATTTTGCACTAGAACAAGTGTAAATTAATATCATCCACATATAGTTAAATTTTATGCATTATTTGCGAGCTGTTTCGCCTAAAAAATTCATTTCCTTTGATCTTTTACAAAATCTATATTTTCCTGTCAATCAAATTACAAGATCCGGTGATGGTGAAAGGCGTGTTTATTTTCGACAAAAAATCCTTTCGCGGTAAGATATAGATCATCATTTTTATTTAAATTTTTCGAATTTTCTTATCCTAGGTCACGTAGAATTTTCAAATAGATTGTAAAAGTGTGATTTAACTTTTGATTTTGATAAAATTTTGATATCAAAACCTGGATACAAACGTACGCGTATGAATCTCGTCGAGGCTATCAATTTTTGGACACGAGCCATTGAGGGAGACGCACCTTCCTGTGACAATGAATTCACGGCCCATATTTTGAATAAACAAGCCTCTTTGTCTTTATCTCTGTATGAGTAGAATATTAAATAAAACCATATGACGACAACAATAACAGTCAGGCGAAATAACCAGGAATATGTTGTGCCTGCAAGTTCTTCTCAGGTAAGATATTTTTACAAGTGTGTATTATAATACATCGGCACCATCGCGTGTTGTATACATGTGTCGGCCATGTTTATGTACACCCCTCATCTACGTTAACCCCGCCTTGTTTTAGGACGCGCAACCATCCCCCTTAGCCCTTCTAGCAGCAACGTGCAGTAAAATAGGTGATCCTGCGACTGCCCCCGAGGGAGGAGCCACACAGAATGGGGGTAATGCAGTAAGAGTGGTCGGACAAGCTGGGGGTGCGGAAATAGTTACACCAAACTTTATACAGTTACCATCGGGAGCCATTGTAGACGCTAGTGGTAAGTGTTCTCTTAAGTTTACGAATTCTATTAATTTTTTTTTTCAAATTATAGAAAATTTTATAAATGATCTATCAATATTCATTTGTTATTATTTATTAAAAATATAATTCATAGGTAAACAGCAGTTTGGGATCCCTGTTTCCATAGGCCCTAATGGTCAGATTATACAGCAAGCAGCCCAACCTCAACTGTTTGCAAATGGAAATGTACAGTACAGTGTTATACCTTCTTACCCAACAATTGGCATTGACAGCCAGGATGGATCTGCTATCATTATTCCAGCTTCTCCATCAGCAAATAACACAGGACAAGCTATATTTACTGGAGGACAACAAACTGTGCTGGCTGCACCTAATGGTCAACTGATCAGAGCTCAAGGTCTCCCAGCTAACAGTGTTATTCCAAACATGGGATTTGCAAACTTGGCAGGGAATGTTGTGAACTTGGGAGGAAATTTAGTAAGTTTGGGCAATGTCCAGGGTGGTCCAAGACCAGTCCAGGCTGTTCAGCTTCAGTCGCAATATCAACAGGTGCCCAATTTTATTCAGATACCTGTCTCTAATGGTCAAGCTGCAGCAATGCAGGCTATTCAGTTACAGTCTTTACCAGGATTTCAGATGGTTCAAGGTTCTCAAGCAATTACAACTACTGCTAATAGCAGTGGACAGACGAATGCCGATGGAACACAGACTGTGTCCAGTACAAGCACAGTCAGTATTGCACCTCAGCCAACACAGCAGCAACAGCCTCAGACAATTCAAATACAACCACAAGTGCTTGAAATCTCTAATGTAGCAACTCCCTCAAAAGGCAGTGACAATAATAATAGTAGTAAACCATCTACACCACAGACTTTAACGATCCAACCAAACCCTGTTTCATCTTCACCACCGTCAACGACAGCAGCTTCAACGCAGCAACCTAACCAGGGTGCAATCCCTCAGCTTCTCCCTGCCAGCGGTTCTGTTCCCATCCAGCAGATGCCCACGATGGTGTACAATGCTGCCACTGGACAGTTAATTCCACTTTCTCAAGGGATGATAGTGTCTAATGGACAAAGTATTGTGATGAATTCTATGCCACAGATGGCATCTAGTGTTTCAACGTCAACTGTCAGTACTGCATCATCAGCCCAGTCCTCTCAACCTGTCTCAGTGCTTCAACCAGGCCAGGTAATTACCCCTCAGCAACTTGGCCTTCAAACTATCCAAGGTCAGAATATCCAGTTCTCTGGTGCCCAACAGCCTGGTCAAGTCATCACTGGTACACCTTGGTTATCTGCCATAAACAATTTAAATGTGGGCGGCATTAGGCCACCAAACACAATTCAAACCATACAAGTTCCAAACATGACTCTACAAAACCTTCAAGGTCTGCCTGCAGTGCAGAACTTTCAAGGGATACAGACATTTCAGTTGACACCTCAAGGGCAGTTGATTGCAGCTGGACCTACCCCTATCCAATCAAATCTTGCCGTAAACTCCCAGGGGGCGATTACTATAGCAGCCCCTCAAGCACAGACTACCCAGCAGACCCAACCTGCCCAGTCTCTGAGCCCACAGATGTCCCAACAGTACACGGCAACTGTACAAAACATTCAGCCCGCACCCCAACAAGCTCAGATTATCAATGGTAAGTAATTCTTTATTTTTGCAAGAAAGTCATTGTCCCTTTTTAGCGAGACAAAATTTTCACAAATTGTGGTATTTGCTCTATAGTATAATCTAATGTAATACTATTTTACATGAGAATAAAATTTTTGCAAACACACTGTCTGGTATAATTACGCAAAGTTAAGTTCTCGTGAACAAAAAGTGATTTATAGTAAATGATAGAAGCAAATGAAATAAGACTGTTGTTTAAGAATATAATAAATTTTAGTCTATGATGTGAGAATTATTCATTTGCCATTTATTTTTGTAGCAAATACAGGACAGCCTGTGGCTGGAACCACCATACAGCAGGATCCAAATGACCCTACTAAATGGCAAGTAGTTCAAACCCCCAACAACCCACCTCTTAGTCCCACAGAACAGGGGATAGCACAGCCAGGGAGGAGGCTTAGGAGAGTGGCATGCACCTGTCCTAACTGTAAAGACAATGAGGGAAGGTAGGTGACAGGCCAAGTTAGGCCATAATAAAAATATTCCTAGATTCTCTTCCCCGCCCGCCCCAATTTTATACCCCCGCCTCGATTTTTTTTATTTCCATTTTTCTTCGTCTTAATTCTGATCGGGATCGGTATTCATCTACCATTCTACTTTCGTTTTAAATCCCGCGAAAGTCTACATGATTTTGACAGCTGAAAAGATGGTAATATAGACTATTGCTGTAATACATGCATATATATTTTAAACAAGGGTCATTGGTTGAAAAAGATTGGTGATGATGTGAAGTAAGAGATAATTGAACCTTTACTATGACTTTTATTCGGGTATTGTAGATGAAATTACACCGATTGACCAGGTCAATAAAAAATCTGCAAAATTGAAAAAATATAAAATATAAAATAAAAGCCGCCGGCCTGCCTCGATTTTTAAAAAGATTTGGGTGAGAATCTAGCAATTTTTTTTTATGGCCTTAACAGCAGTTTAGGATTTTGGGTGGAAGAGACATAATGTGTATAAGGTTCTCTCTAGGATTTTACTAATTTGAGTTCCAGGACTCAAAGTTTCTGAGATGGTTGGGTCCCCATCTAAAAAAAAAATTGTGTTCTGTCCTAGTTGAATTTCTGCAGTATCCTTCCATCCAGACAAAAATTACAATCATTGTTTATTTTATGCAAATTAGAAAAAAAAATCTAAATTTAATGATAATGCATTCAAACCACATTCTAAATACATGTATATGTGTAATTAATTGCCATGTATAATGCTAAAATAAACTTTTGCATAATCAAATACTGACTCTAAAATTGCCAAAGGAGTGTAAAGTATGCTGTCATACTGAGCTGTCATATGCACTTAGGCATACTTAATCCTGTAGGTCATCTGCACTTTAATAGTAAAATATACTCAAGTCTACAAGACAATTAAGGGAATAAAAGCAGTAATTAAGGTTTCTATGCACATTAAAACTGCTAGCCTTCCATTCCAAACTGCTATCATATATTTATAGTTATTGAATTTTGACATGCAAGTCAAAACCAGGACTGATTATATTGCAATTATGAGTCTGCAGTTGCCTAGTTTTTAACAGCCTTGCACATCATCCCAAATAATTTTACTGCATGATGTCTCTATTACACATATTCTTCCATATAAGAACTTGAGTGACCATATTTCTCTTCTGTTGGTAAATTTTCAAGTGTATCACACAATTTTGGGTGTTACATTGTTGGAGTTCCTTCCCTGTATATATATGTATGTATTTACAGATCTGGTGACAACAAGAAAAAGCAACATATATGTCATTATCCTGGATGTAATAAAGTCTATGGAAAAACTTCTCATCTGCGTGCCCATCTCAGGTAATTATATCATTTTCATGTTATTACCAGTGCTTGTCCTTAAGTTTAAAAATAAATATCACACTTAACTACTATTTTATGCTTGCTCTAATGTTTGTACTTGTAAGAATACATTGTTTGCATAATTTTTTTTCCCTAAAGGTGGCACTCAGGTGAACGTCCATTTGTGTGCAATTGGTTATTTTGTGGAAAGCGCTTCACAAGATCTGATGAACTTCAAAGACACAGGAGAACACATACAGGTTAATCTTTGAAATGTTTTTGACACATTTCTCCATGATTTTAAAGGCATGATAATGGTACAGTGACAAATATTGTATTAAATCAAAATATGATTGTGATTTTTAGGAGAGAAGAGGTTTGAATGTCCTGAGTGTCAGAAAAGGTTTATGAGAAGTGACCATCTTACAAAGCACAGAAAAACACACAAAAACAAGAATGCCCAATTAGCTTTAGGTAAAAAAAAAAAATTGACATTTTTTCATAATGTGCTTTTGGATATCTATCAATTTTAAAAGGTTTAAATAATACAGATATATAAGAAACTCCTAATTCTTCAACATATCTTTCCCACATCAGAGTCAATTGATGACACTTGATTTAATCTTTTGAAAACTTTTTTTTTTTTGAAGATTCAAGTGAAACAGGGGAGGAGGGGGAGATGGAGGTGTTTCCTGAGACCCTGACAGTGGATACAGAGGAGGGACCGATTCAAATGGTGGCGTACGCTGGACAGCCCATACAGCAGGTGGAAGAGGGGTGAGGAGGGACGTACTGACTTACTGGAATTGTTAAATTATTAGGGCTTATATAAGGCTGCTAGATTCCCAGCCCTGGGCTATGTGCAAAGAGGGGTAGTGTCAGAACTGAAGGGAATCCCCTCTCTAATCAGAACTCCTTGCTTTAATGATCACGAAGCTTTTTCATGGAGTATGTGATACTTTTGATTCTGGTGAATAACATCATACCCAAGATAATGGACAGACACAGTATTTTTTTCCTCCCATTCCAGCATTTTATTTAGAGGATATATTGTTGGTAATATATGTGTACATTGGATGTACAAAATTATAAAGTAAGATATATTTTTAATGTGATGTACTTGTTATGTTGTTATAGATGTTGTACAACTGTTAGTGGTCTTGCTGTAGTTGAAAACATTTTTTTTTTCTGGAATGGAATTTATTGTAAAGGAGGAAGAATTATTGCTGATTTACAATCATGGAAGTAATGTAATTTCATAGAAAATTACTATGGCAGAACAATGTGAAAAAGACTAGGGAAACTGCATTTGATTATTTTCAAAAATGTTATTTTGTGTGGTTTATGATGAAAAGTTGTACTGAAAATTTACCTTGGAATTTAATGAAAGATAGATAAAGTAATGCAACAAGTCTTTGCAGAGAGAAAAAGGGACAAAAATAACCTTGTAAATGAGCTCTTACAAAAATTTAAGTTTCGAAGTTCACATTTTCTTTATGGACCAATTCCACTTTTAATTAAACTTTTAAAACCATACTTGTATTGGAGTTTTTATAATTTGACAAAAAAAAGAGGATTACATTGTAACCTTTTGCACTTTTTGATGTCTCTTTTTCTTTACCAGAATTTCTAGCTATCTCTGCATCATGTTCTGTCAAAGTGATTTTTTTTGTAGAATTGTAGTAAATGTATTAGAACAAAATTGCAGAAAATACTTATACACCATGAAATGTATGTTTTAAAAATTTACAGTGATCTATAATTGAATCTCAGATGAATAGATTTGTATCTCTTTAAGGCTATATGTCTCTGTCATGATATGTGAAATTAATGTTTGAATTTTTTAAAATTTTTAAAAAGGAACTTGCAATTTTGTTTTTTTTTTTAAATGAACATTATTGCAAGTTAGTTGTACATTACAGAACATTCAGTGCTATATGCAGGTTGAAACATTTATATTCTTATACATGTATTTTAAAGCTGTCAAACATTTTGATATACATGTAATTTTAGCTGTACACATTTTAGGTGTTTAATTTTTACATGAACGATTTTGTTAGGATTTTTTAAAACATTGCTTCTGTGTCCCAACGTAAAATAAAGAAATCAACCGCTCAGGCCTCAGTTTGTTTTTCTTCATTTGTTTTTACTTGCTTCATGATTTCTCACCTAAGGGAATTCGAACTTTAACAAGCCAATTCAGAGAATTTGCCCCCTCCCCCTTCAAAAACAGAGAAAAGGGTTAAGGATCAGGGAACATTTGCAGATGGAGAAAGAAAAAAGGTCAGCTTTGACCTTTCAGTTTTTTTACCTTAAAGTAAATATGTCTTCTTAAAGAAATTCTAAAATTATTAAGGGAAATAATAAATTTGATATAAAGATAAGACTTTGACCTATGGGTTTTTTTAAGGCCATTAGGAGCTGTATTAAAAAAAATGCAAAAGCTCAAAGACTGAAAAGATGTCTAGAATGAAAGGGTTACTCATAAATAGTATATATTGATTTGACCTCTGACACATCAAAGAGAGCTTAAAGAAAACTAAAGGTTTCATCTGAAAAATGTATTTGCAAAGTGCCACCCTTTACCTTTAGCCTTGAAGACCAAAACTGATTTTCTTTATGCATTAAGAAATTGGGCTTGACATATAGCTAAAAAAAATCCAGGTTTTGCACGGAAAAGAAGGTCTTATACACCTGCTGAATGTAGTAATTAATTTGCTTTTTGACCCCAAAACTAATATAGGTTTTCTGTAGGCAATAGGGATTTATACAAGATTTCGTTGCACTGTAAATGGGGATAATTGGGTCTGTTCGTCCTAGTGTCTGTTTAGCTGTATTTTCTGAACTATATCTCAAAAACTCTTCAGCTCTAGCAATGTAATTCTTTACCACAAACTCCCTATGTCCTAAAGAAGCCAGTATTTGCGGTTGACAGGTCAAGGTCATAACTTCATAATTCGAACACTTCATTTCAAGCCAATATCTTTACAAATATATGAGTTTTTTATATCATGCCTCCGTATGAGAGAAAACTCATTTTGATTTTGATTTTGAGGTCAAAAGGTCAAGGTTATAAATTAATACATTGTAAATAACATTTTCCACATAATTTTTTATTCAATAGAATTTAATTTCAAACTAGAAAACCCCTACTGACTTTGTGATCAAAAAGTCAGAGGTCAAGATCATTAATTCTCGTAAAACTCGTTTTTGAACGATATTTTAAGAAGTCTCTGCAATGAAACTATAAGTCTACACCATAACTTTAAAGCATTCAGAAGACCCCTTTAATTTGTTTTTCAGCTCAAAGAATATATCAGAAAACTTAGGTTTACAAATTATTGTTAATTTTTTATATGATTATTCTATTCTTTTTCCATTCTTCTGCAGATTTCAAAAATGAAATTATCGATTGCTATAAAGTTGTTAACTTGTGATTGTGTAGAAACCACACTTATGAACTGGAGATTCTTACAAACATTCAGAGTCGTGTTAATTTTACAGACAACGCTGATCGATTACTCAGTCTAGCTCCAGTAATAAAATCTTCATTGATTAGTCCGTGTTTCTAATTAAAGGATGAAACACCTGATGACAAGATAAATTTTGTTTCCAAAAAGTCTGCAATCCTGAATAAGTATTGTCTTATTAGGCCCGTAGGACGCGGGGGAAGGGCACGGGGGGCTTTCCTGAGTACAGTCTATCTTCAGTTAGCTGCTGGTTGCCCTTCCCCAACTTCTTGTTGCTGTTACCAGTAGGTCAGGCACTGGCAAATTCCGGGATTTGAAAAAAAGTAAAAGAAAACACCCCCGCCCACTCTTCCACGAAATAGGATTTTTGGGGTTGAACTTTTTTCTTTTTCATTTGGGGATGGAGTTATAGATGAGGGAGGGTGTGTCCCCTCCTACAATTGTTGCTACGGGTACAGATTTGCAGACCTATACTCCCTTAACCAGAAAAAAATTTGAGGAGCATAGAAAGATGTCAGGGTGAAGAGAGGACCAGAAACTTCATCAGACCATCATCTGCTGATGACGACATTAGGGCGACGCTTCAAGAAGTTTAACAACTTGACAAACAGGAGGACAAGCTACAATGTGAGTGTCGTCAAAACAAAGGACGTGAAGATAGCATTCCTCCTCAGCTTGTCAAATAGATTCCAGCTACTACAAGAGCAGCTAGAAAGCAATGCCACCAGCACCGAGACCCAATGACAGCATATCAAGGAAATGTGGCAAGACACATATTAGGAAGTTCCTGGCATAAGAAAGTCTCAACACAAAGAGTGGATCTCTGTGAATACCATGGAAAAACTGGATGAGAGGAAGGAAAGGATTGATTGATTGTATACTGTTTAACGTCCCTCTCCAGAATATTTCACTGATATGGAGACGACACCATTGCCGGTGAAGGGCTGCAAATTTAGGCCTATGCTCGGCACTTACGAACTTTGAGCAGGGAGGGATCTTTATCGTGCCACACCTGTTGTGACACGGGGCCTCGGTTTATACGGTCTCATCCGAAGGACCTCCCCATTTAGCCGCCTTTTACGACAAGCAAGGGGGTACTGAGGACCTATTCTAACCCGGATCCCCACGGGGCCGGAAGGAAAGGAAAGAGGAAGGAAAGGAAAGTGGCGTTGAATACAAGCAAGACAAAAACAGCAAAGGCAAAAGCCCAGAAGGACTAAACAGCCACAGATGAAGAAGTTAAGAAAAGCATCGGGAAAGATAAATAGGATCACGTCGACAACCAGTCCAAGCAAGCTGAAGAAGCAGTGGGACAAGAAAACTTGAGAGAACTGTAAATGACCACAAAGAGTTCTCCAGCAAGTTCCAACAGACAGACAAACCAGTGAAGCACAAGGACCGGGAACCCCTGACAACAACAGTAGAACAATTGAAGAGGTGGGTGGAATACTTTGAAGAGTTATTAATAGATCAAATCCAGAAACACCGGGCACACAACCAGCCCTCCCGATCAACTGCGACAAGCTAACAAAGACAGAGATCAGGAGAGCAATTAACAATCTAAAGAATGGACAAGCTGCAAGACCTGATGAGATACCAGCAGAAGCCATCAAAGCTGATACAGAGTCAGGCGTTAACATCCTCTATATAACCTTTAAGATCTGGGAGGAAGAGAACATTCCGGAGGAATGGAAAGAAGACATCCTTATCAAGCTGCCAAAGAAGTAGATCTGATGGACTGCAATAAATACAGAGGAAATATTCTCCTGTCAATGCCTGGCAAAGTCCTCAACAAAATACTTCTCGAAAGAATGAAAGAAGCAGTGGACCCAAAGCTCCGTGACCAAAAGGCTGGTTTTAGAGCCATCCTGTGCTGACCAGATATAGCCAGCCTGCTTATCATCACCAAAGAACAATAACTGAAATGGAAGTAACCCCTCTATTTAAATCTCATCGAATATGAGAAAGCAATCGACAGCGTTGACCTAGAGACATTATGGAAGATACTGAGGCAATATGCAGTACCATTGAACTTAGTCTCCCTGATTCGAAACACCTACCAAGGCATGTTATGCAGGGTTGCCCATGCTGGCCAGATGTCTGAGAGTTTCGAGGTCAAGACAGGAGTTCGATAAGGATGCTTGTTGTCACCATTTCTTTTTCCCTTGGTCATTGACTGGATCATAAGGATTACCACATCAGGCAGGAACAATGGTATACAGTGGACAATCCTGACGCAACTCGACGATTTTTGATTTTGCAGATGACCTGGCTCTCCTTTCAGATAACCAGCGTCAGATACAGGATAATACAGCTCGCCGTGCAATAACATCGACAGGAACGGGACTCAAAATCAACTTGAAGAAAACAGAATTGTTGAAAATAAACACCAGTCACAGTTGGTGGCGAGCCCATCAAAGAAGTTGAGTCCTTCATCTACCTGGGGAGTGTGGTGTATAGACAAAGTGACGCACATCGTGACATCAAAATTTGCAAGGCGAAAACTGCATTTATCATGTCAAAGAACATCTGGGCCTCAAAGAACATGTGCATTACTACCAAATTACTATTTGCACAAATACTATTCACAACTCTAATGTAAAGTTCGTCCTATTATATGGTGCAGAGAAATGGAGGTTGATCAAAGCAACCCTGCAGAAGATCCGGACTTTTTACAACACCCGTTTCAGGCCCATCTTCAACATCCGATGGCCTGAAAGGACCTCCAATGAAAAACTTTGGAAGAGAGCAGGATAGAAACCAATGGAGGTACAAATAAGACCGAGGAAGTGGGGCTGGATTGGACACACTCTAAGGAAGTCACCATCCAGCATCACACCCCAGGCCCTGACTTGGAACCCACAGGGCAAAAGAAAGAGGGGAAGTTCAAGAGACATCTGGAAGTATGACTCGGAGTCAGAGTTAAAGATACAGGATATGACCTAGTGGGATGCAGCAAAAGCACCTCGGAATCGAGTTCGTTGGAGGACTGTCGTTCATGGCCTATGTTCCCCAGGGAATGACAGGCCAAAGTAAGTAATTATTTTGTTATCACCTAGTTTCGTGGTCTGTTTTAAACATGAAAACGGCGAATATTGGTATTCAAGCCCCTGCACCAACTATTCAAAGTTATGGCCAAGCGTAACGTATGGATTTTTTTGTAAAAGTAGGTCACACTCCAAGGTCAAGAGGTCACATTTGGTGATATCCAAAGAAAGGTCTTGTCACAATTTTAAAAGAGAAACCTGCATGTTAAATATGAAACCAATAAACCAACCCACTAAAAGTTATTGGCAATGTAGAAGTCTAAAACGGTCTTATCGAACAGACAGACAGACATACGGACAGGGCAAACTACTACCGTATATATCCCCGAATCTTCAATTAAGGAGGCATAACATACCGGTATATAACTTTAAATTGATGAAATAAATATTTTAATGAATTCTATTACCTGTGTCCTTTTTAATATTTTATTATACTGAGAATATTTACAACATGAGTTTCATTGGACTGAGCCAGTGTCCAGTCATCAATAAAGTCTGACCAGTCAAGTAATCCTCTCGGAGCCTGCGTAAAGTACTCGGTGGTCCCGTTCTACCATTGATTCGGTGGATATTTCATATACAAAGTCGCTGTTATATTGACTGTACATAGGGC